TCTAGTAGTAACATCTCATTGTCTAGTAGTTACATCTCGTTGTCTAGTAGTAACATCTCATTGTCTAGTAGTTACATATCGTTGTCTTGTAGTAACATCTCATTGTCTAGTAGTTACATCACGTTGTCTAGTTGTAACATCTCATTGTCTAGTAGTTACATCTCGTTGTCTAGTAGTAACATCTCATTGTCTAGTAGTTACATCACGTTGTCTTGTAGTAACATCTCATTGTCTAGTAGTTACATCACGTTGTCTAGTTGTAACATCTCATTGTCTAGTAGTTACATCTCGTTGTCTAGTAGTAACATCTCATTGTCTAGTAGTTACATCACGTTGTCTAGTGGTTACATCTCGTGGTCTAGTAGTTACATCACGTTGTCTAGTTGTAACATCTCATTGTTTAGTAGTTACATCTCGTTGTCTAGTAGTTACATCTCGTTGTCTAGTTGTAACATCTCATTGTCTAGTAGTTACATCTCGTGGTCTAGTAGTTACATCTTGTAGTCTAGTATTTATATCTCGTGGTCTAGTAGTTACATCTCGTGGTCTAGGAGTTACATCTTGTAGTCTAGTATTTACATCTCGTGGTCTAGTAGTTACATCTTGTAGTCTAGTATTTACATCTCGTGGTCTAGTAGTTACATCTCGTGGTCTAGTAGTTACATATCGTGGTCTAGTAGTTACATGTTGTAGTCTAGTAGTTACATCTCGTTTTCTAGTGTAGTTACATCTTGTAGTCTAGTAGTTCCATCCACCAATAGCGTTTACAGTGGTTACAGTGGTTACAGGATAAGTCGGTTGATTGATCAGTGGTTTAGTAATCCAGATTTAACTTAATCAGAAGCCTAAGGTTTTGGTAGTTGAAAACTGGATTTAGCTGACCTCAATAATAGGGCTTTTAATAAAAGTTACTGACTAACAAAGCACCTATAAAAGTAACATAACTACATCTCTTTCATGCAACCCATATCTGTCTTCGCCTTAAAACTGCGCACCCTGTAGTGTCAGCATCACATTTATCTAATCTGGAAAATAACATAGACCATTACGAAATAATACCCCTATACTAATAACACACTCCTTCTACCAGAACATTCCCTCCACTATAAACCACACGATTGTTTAAATTATTAACATTTATAACACGACTTACCATTTGTTATTTAACCAAGTTTCAAAATAACGTACTCAAAGTCAGAGGGGATTCTAAACCTAGAATTTTCACACATAAAAGAGGTACTCTGACTGCTTTCTATAATAAAATTCATCAAAGGTTTCTTAATATCTATGCTATTTCACTGACATAGATAATACAAATATGTTTTTTCAGGAGAGGGTGCGTTTCCAGAGGGGGTAACTGTGACCACAGTCCCAATGATTGCTGCCCATCAACCTCCTGCCGTTGTAATCTCTGGGGCGCCAACTGCAGGTGTCAAAGGAAAGGAGTGTTCCAAAATTGGGGCTAGTACTCTCCCCAGCTGCTTCTCTGGCAACTTCACACAAATGTGACAAAAACGTACAAAAACACCGTTTGTTTCGTGGCATTTATGTTGTATTGTGGTTGTATAGTTTGAAATAAATGTTTAATTAAATTGTGTGATTTTTATTTTAGTTCGAAAATTTTCAAGGTGTTTTTTACGTTTTTATATCAAACGTATTTCCTATTACGTTTGTTTAAGATGATTATCAATTAAATATTATGGTGTATAGCTTGGATAAATAATTTATAACTTTTGTCTAATCCTCAAATGCGAATTTACAGCTTTTCCGTTGAAAACTTTTTCAGGCCATTTCAAATGTGAAATTTCGGGGGTCCCTCTGCCACCAAGATATGAGAAATGAGTAAATAATAAATACTAATCATCTCCGGCTACGATTTCTTCCATTTACTGCTTTTATAGGTAACAGATTCACTTCCTTGAAGTATAAAAAAAGTTCCATTAAGACAACTCGAGTTTTTTCGTATATTTAAAATTATCATTAATCTACGTTTTATAACGAATAAAACCTGTAACCAAACTGAGAAGCGTAATGATTACCACGACGATCCAACTGGCTTAGCGTAATTTCTCGTTTAACTTTACGAAAGTCAAAATGAAAAATGTACTCCTGACTTAAGCTTAGTCTCCAAACTATTAAAAATTAGATGTTTATACAATTTTAGTCTATTTATCAGACCTTATTTGCTTGAGCTTAATTAATCTTGGGCTAATGACTTAGTTTATAAGCTCAGTACTTACTTAGTAAAATAAACTTAAATGCAAGAATTAAAGTTCTGTATAAAACGAGTGCTGACAATATTTGATCCATCCAAAGAAGCATATAACAATCTGCAATACATGTTAAAAAACTATCATTTTAAAATGTCTAATTTCATTATTTCAATGGTAAGTTTCACTAATAAAGTAGTTATAGTTAAAAAAAGTTGTTCGCCTAACTTTGTAAAAGTGATAATTTTGTAGTCTGCAGTGTATAGTGCTGTTAGACATAAATCTAAAATTCTTCAATTATTGCAATGTGAAGTTTGTAAATAGGAATCAGAACCTATTGGTTTATAGGACCAAGTATACACATAGTAACGCCACACTAAATATACAGGGTGGTCATAAATTATTGGACACATTTTAAGATTATATAAACAAATAACCAAGCAACTTAGAAACATGGGAATTGTTTCATTGAATAACAAATTTAAGACAGTTTTATACAGCAACTGCAAAACAATAATTATATAAATGTCAGTAATTGTAAGAAGTGGTTATAAAAAATGTGCAAAAATCACTCAAACAGTGAATGTAAGTTGTTTTTGTTATGACTTGTGTTGTGGCCTAGTCAGCATAGTTAAAAACCAACAATGGACCTTTCTACACCAGCTGTGTATGACACTTGGTAATCAAACCTTGAACCGAATCACGTAACAAAATTACTAGTGTGCAATAAAAAGCAACGTCTTTGGTTTCATTAAAGTAAATCTGTAATAACTGTTCAAAGAAGGCTGCGTTTAGAGTGTATGTGGCCGTAATTCTATTTGTAGAAATTCTATAAAATAGTGGTACAGACAATTAGAACGACTGGAAAGTGTCCAAAATATAATTTAAAGGGTCATCACCTCAGATGAACATAGCTTACAATAACAGTTTAGGTGATTTTTATGGTCATTTTATAACTACTTTTCATAATTGCTGAAATTTTTATAATTGTTTTTTTTTTCAGTTACTGTATATCACTGTTTTAAATTTGCTATTTAATGGAACAATTCCCACGTTTCTAGACTGCTTGGTTATTTATTTATTTTATCTTAAAATGTGTACAATAATTTATGACCACCCTGTATTATTTATTTAACAAATATTGTTCCAAAAAATAAATACTGCAATCAAGATATTTGTAAAATATACTTACATGTTTATTTTAAAATATCTAAAACCTGAGCAATCACTTTAGGATCCACAACAATAAACATCACAAAGAATATCAACAATGTGCATTGATTAATCACTATTATTACCAAACGAGAACATATTCGTCATAACACAATATTGGGTAAAACATACCTAAACTGAAACTGTTTTTTGTTTCTAAAAGTCGCTGTTAATATAATTGAGAGTGCAATATAATATTTTATTAGTTTTCTCCATATTAACTAAACATATATTTAATAATGTGAATTACGAAGGAATTTCTTTAATATTGAAATTTACGGCATAGTTGGGAAAATATATTATGAAAATCTATTACTCACTATATTACACACTATCTATGATAACACGTATCTATAAATTGATGGCAAATATAAATAAATATAAAACAAATATAATACCGCCACCGCAGCAAACCTGCAGACTAAGCGAATTTCCATTCTCTGATTGGATTTACACTAAAATGTCTCCTTAAAGATATCAAATTTATTCCAAACTTAAATAACATTAGTTTAACGAGTACTTAGGTTTGCTGCAACAGAGAGAGTAAAAAGGTGGTTTTTTGTAAAATGTTAATAGTTTAATATGAAATGAATGCATTTTCCAAATTTGATGAAAATATGATCATAAACAAGCAAACTACAACAGTTTACTTATTCTTCATAAGAATAACATGGGCATTTTAAATTTACAGTTCTTTGGAATTTTTTCCGTAACCATTAGGCTCTTAATTACGCTTCAATATACAAAATTATTTGTTCTACAAAATGGTTTGGAAAGAAAATGCTAAATTTTAAGTTTTGAGGGCGAAAAATGGGAACAACAAATTTTTGCCCCATAAAATTCCCCATAAACTCCTGTTCCCATAGTCCGATCATGCTGGTTCGCGAACTCGTTCGAATAAACGTAGATTTCCACGTTAGTACCAAATTTAATCAAAATCAGATGATTTTTGCTCGAGTTATTGCGCTAACGGACACACACACATATATATATTTAGGGAAATTCGCTAAAATAACGAATTTAAATAATACACTTTAATTACCAGGTAAAAAATATTTTGCTGTAGTTAGTATTAACCTAGTGCAAGTGTAGGTTCGGATGGTAGCGTGCTTGGAGCTGAAGACTTATATCCTGGAGCCCAGGCTCGAATCCTGTAAAACACCAACTACTTTTAGCATTGCGATATTGTCGTAACAAGTTGGTTTGGAGCCCAGTTTATTCTTAAACAAAGATAAATACAAAATAAGTCTCCTATGAGAAGCTCTATATAGAATGGCTCTTTACTCTCATTAAAAATATGTGGCAGTACGTTTCATCATTTGCATACGTTCTGCTAGATACTCCAAAATAAAATACCCCGTAAAATATCTACAACCATTACTAACATTTCCCAATTTAATTCCGTCAAGTCAACAAGACTAGCCAGTAAGCCGTCAATTAGTTAATGTGTGTCCACGGTTGGATTGTACTAGTAACATGTAACAAGCCCGTGGGCCGTTGGGGGGGGGGATGGGGGGGGGGCTAGGGTGTGCGTGGGTGCGAGCTAGGGGGGTGCGCACCACAGTAGAAGCCCTCACACTTGCCCGAGCCCCCAAGATGCGCACTTCGTTGGGTTTACTTCTAGTTGCTCTGCTGCTTCTAGCCCTTTCCTTAGCCCAAGCCGAACCCGCACCCTCATATTTTGATGACGGTTAGTACTATCAAACATTCATCCACTCAATTTGTATCCATTTATAAGCTGTCACTGCAGTTTAATTGTTTTAAAACTTTTTTTCAATATTGCAAACAATGTGTTAGTTGTCACCAACAATGTGTAATGTATTATTTTGAATGTTCACATCGACAAAGACCGTTAGAAATAGAGAAAATAAGCTTTTAATCACCATTAGCAAAAGGGGGGATTGTCATATGGAACGCTGTTTTGAGTTGCGATAGTTTTGTTGTGACATTCTTTTTTGTAGAAATGCTTTGGGACCTCTGTATCTCACCACTTTCATTCTAGGCAGCTCAATATAACTAAAAACATAATTAATAACACCTTAAAAACAAAATGTTTCAATCACACATCAAATTATGGTAACCTATTACCTTTAACCAATCACTTAAAACGGTAAAAAGTAATTTATAAACACTAAAAGTTATTGTTTTAGAAGACTATTTCCAAGATAAAATTACATAAGATATTACATTCTCTCTTGAGGACAAAAAATATAAGTTATGTATTTTACACATTTTTATCTATGTTTTATTTTAACCTTATACTATAATGAGGATATTTAAATTTTCTATACAGCATAATTATATATTTATGAAAAGTTTCCTCCCGTAGGTTGGCAATTTTAACCCAAATATCTGAAGGTTTCCCAAACGATTATTGCATTAATTTGTTTGTAATTGATTAGAATTTATAAAAGATAAATCAATTATTGAAATCATTATCAATAATCTCTAAGCCGACGTTAAGTGACCAATACCAACAATAAACTCTAAACAAAAATGTAAATAATGTTACTGGCCAGATAAAATTCCATAAACAAATAAAAGTATAGGTTTATTGATTGCCAATGTTTTCATAATTATATTATAAATAATAACCAAAGATAAGAGGTAGCATGTCATAAGAATTTTTACAGACATGTAAAAATAAGAATGTCAAAAACGGAATATAGAAATGGATACTCTTTTAGTTCAGCGACTTACATGTAGAATTTATGTGACACCTTTGATATAATATTCATAAAGTTTTCTATTTCGCGTAAAAGAGGGAACAAGCTGACAACTTTCTTATAGTCTTACATCATATAAAATATTTGTTCACTGTGCCAGCTTCCTTGCTTGTTATAAGCTTGTAAAGCCACAAGTACTCTATTTCAATATTCTTTGATGGCTGCAAATTCATTTTAAAAGCACTAAATATGTGTTGAAACAAATTATAAAAAAATACATCATGCATTTTGCTCATACATTTTGCTACATATACGTAACGTAAATACATTTCCCTAATGATAATATATTGTTAAATGTATTTATTTGTTACCAAATATATATATTTATTTATTAATGTGTTCATACAACTTGTCTCATTAAAATTGTAGTTTCAAATAACTTAAATTCATTAATAATATAAAGAGCATTCAAAAGGGAAAATTGTTGTCATATATTATAAAACAAGAAATTGCCTTAACATCTGAATTCCTGAAAAAATACATATAAGACACATTTCTACTTCTACTTTCAATATATTTTATTTTACCTACAGTATGTGTGTGAATATTGGTACATTATCAAGATTTAGGTTACACTAAATGTTGTAATGAAATGATTTTTTTTAAATGGTTTACACAATAGACCAAGTTTGAACTTTAAAATTTTTGAGACATGACAAATCCAATAAGGTAGGATTAACTATACTGATGTCAATATCTGATTTACGATAATTTTTTTTTTTACCAAAGACTTTTACATACAGAAAAACAAAAAGTAAATTCGTACATTCTAAAACTTAAGGCTGCATTTGGTAATAAAAGAATAATTTTTCCTCAACAATTATATATTCTATAATCCAACAACCTATCATTTCATTGAATGTAATTTTGTTGAACATTTTATATATATATATTATGAAAAGGCTGTAAGACTCTATAAATATCAATCTTATTGGATTGAAAATATAAACCTAATTTGTTGAAGCAATACGTAAATATGTTTTCGAATAAATGTCTGTCGACTACATTTATGGAATTATATTAAATTTACTTTGGTGCAACAAACCTTTTAGGCTTAGCAGTTGTGACAGAATGATTAATAAACGTTTTTTGATCCATTTTTGCAGTTACTTTTGTTACGCTTGTATGTTTTAAGATATTTAGTGCAAAATCCACTCTTGCTTAGAAGTTTTTAATACAAAAACATATATTTTTCATCATTTCTAATACTAGTACTATGAATTTTTAGAGAAAAGCGTAGAACAGAAAGTGGTTGAAATATAAAGCTAAAAAATAAAAATCTTACTACAATATGGCATGACAGTGGGGAGAATCATAACTTATTGTAGACATATGTGAGTTTTCTTAGTTTTAATTTTGGATATTTTATAAGTATAATTAAAACAACACATTCAGACGTGTTGATGAGATCGCAATAAAGATATTAGAACGAGACTGATGTATAGAAGCGTCGATCCGATTTAAATCTCGCCAAAAAAATCGTCCAGCTATTGGGGGGAGAAACAAATTCATAAACACAAGAAGCGTCTCTGTATTTCAGGGTTTTTCGTCATGGAATGTCAATTTCCCAATACTAATGGTTTTTTTTAACCTTTTATAATAATACGTTCACAAAATACATCGATATTAAGGATTTGATGTATTAACCATCCAGAGTTGTTAAACGGAGAATTCAGATATTATAGTTTTACTTAATGATCTTCGGGCATGAACGCTCTTAATAAACATAACCAAGAAACTGTGTATTTAAAGTTGATTAAAATGAGTGTGCAAAGTGGAATTGTAGGTTCAAGCTGTGGGAGGAGATATACATAATACGAAGGCTAATCTTGTGGTCGTGTTACTCATTTTGACGATGATCACGTGAAACCCTTTCTGGTTAGTAAACCACATTTACCTTTCAAAATAAACGCATTTAGATTCGAAAAAGATCATGAGGGACATCTAAGCCCGTTTTCTTTGTAAAAAGTACATAAATGTATGCATCAGTCTCTGGCCATTTTAAATTTACGGTTCTATTTCTTCAAAAGAAATATTTAATATTTAATAACTTATATTTTCATAGGGTTAATGGCTATAACAAGTTGAAATTTGATGAGTAACAAATTTGTGATTGAAAGCTGATTTGGAAGAGCTAAGAACGATATTATAACTGACTGTGGTACTTGGGTTGGATTCTATCATACGGTAAATGTTTTTCCATAGTTTACTATCATATTCCACCAGCAAAAACTTTTACAGTTTACTCAGAAAATTTCGCTCTTTTTTGCGTGATTTGTGTGTACGTTTCAGTGTAAATATCGTAGAATTCGTGTAATTAAAATCAAAATAACTAACTACTGACTTATATACTGTGCAGTTAGATATTTATTAAGTCAATGTTTAAAGTAGAAAGAAGATTTTCCTTGTTTTAAGTTCTTTACGAACTTAAAAAAAGAGTTAGAACTCCTGTGTTGATGTCAAAGATAAACCTAAGTAAGTGGTAGAAACTTCCATTTAACCTGAAGTTATAACTTTGTTGAATGCTTTAAACATACATCTTTCGATATACTAATTATGTTTTATTAAAGTAAATTAGAACCCTTACTTTATTTAACAAAAACCAACATAATGTTTCTACGTCGTTGATATAGGTAATATTAAATACTACTGACTGATGCGATGACCATCTTGATTCTTTGGCAACGTACCATTCATTAATTTACGTAATCCTTTTGTTTTAACCCAACCCCTTTCCTAATGTACAGCAAAAATGGAAAAGTCTAAATAAGCTACAGTTGAAAACTATGTTGTGTACATCATACGGAAAACCTCATCTAGTTTTATGTAATTTAAAGTCATTTAGGTGCTTTTCATAATTAAAAGTAATCTTGCGGGTTTTAGAAAAATGCAATCGAACGGAAGGAAATTCTGGCCTATCCTTACCAAAGCTACACAATAAACCCACAAGTTAATTTGCACTGTAAAATAGCATACTACCACAGAGATATACTTAAGTTTAAGTAATAATAACTCCCTCGGAGAGTTTCTGCGTATACTTCGCAAATACATTTCTCTTGATATTTTGTTTGTGGTGTGTTTGCAGTGTGTTGTATTCCAAACAGGTCTTAAAACAAATCATCGACTCTATAGTTTCCTTAATCAACTTACATTTTCTTAAAAGGCCTTGCTTAATACCAGGTGAAATGTAGTGCCGCAAATACTTAATATACTTTTGTTTCGGTCCTAGGACGCTAGGCACGAGCCTGGGATTGTTTTTCACATTACTTCAGGCTAGACCTAGGGGTTGTGGCATTATCACTTAGATAAAATCTATTGGTGACTTGGCGGGGATCGAACCCGGGACCTCAGGGACTGAAGTCCCGCACTCTAACCACCACGCCAGCTCGCTCCCCAATACTTTATATACTGGAAGATATCTCTAAAACATTTAAGAACATTAGTTTTGTAAGTTTTGCATTTTATTTACTAAAATAAGCAACAGTTTTTAAAAAATACTGTAACAATGCGTAAAACTTATAACACCTTTTTTAGTCTCTGGATCACTCCTAAATAAACTAATGAATAATTCAATTATAATATTGTCAATTAATTATTGATCTTCCACTGATTTTGTACCTAAAGAATCATTATCGAGCCGAACAGGTAATGTTTAAAGATCTCCAGGAATAAACAGGTGATTTCTAGCCCAACATCAGAGTTCAAAGGTTACTACCGATTCAATATGATCCTTCCGAGCGTTTGGTCGTATCCTTATAACAAACATAAGGAGCATAAATATCATAAAGAAAACTTTCTAAGGAATCAATAGTGAAGTGAGATAAAGAGATCACAGTTGATAAGGAGACAATACCCTATTGACCAGATCACAGGCATGACTCCTGTTAATAACTGCCAACTCATTTTATATTGGATTTCTTTTTACCGTGTTGAAAAGATTCGCAGTAAAAATGAAACTTCAACG